TGCAGCCACTGCTGGTTCGCAAGAGTTGTGCCTGACCAAAAGGGTCTAACAGGCTGTGGGGGCAGGCTTGAGAGGCAGAGGTTATGAGGGGCAAGGGGCTGGGGCATGCAACTGCTGCAGCTCTGACTCTGGTCCCGACCTGAGCTTAGAGCCAGAATTAGAGCCACAGCAGCTGTCTGATCTCTCTCTCTCTCTCTCTCTCTCTCTCTCCCCCTCCCTTCCCCCACCTTGTCTTTGTACTCAAATCCAAGACAAGGGGCTTCCACCACCCCCATGTTGAGGGGGGTGGGTAATCATCTTAGGTTTGATTAAATACAATAGTACATGTCCCTAGTAGACCACCACTTTAACATCAGGGAGCCTTGTGGTGGGACAGGAGGAAATTGAGAGATAGACAGAGCTGAGGCTCTTTCAGTGAGTTTCAGTGCTTGGTGTCAGCCTTCAATGACCTCTTGGGGATGACAGCATTCATACTGCCAGTTAGTGGAATTAGTCCTGAAGCTTAAGTGCCATAGTGTGGAAAGTTCAAGATTCAAACCATGATGATGATGATGTTGATCATGATGAATGAAGCGGGTGGAAGAGTTACAGTTACAAATCATATACTATTTTAAATCTTCTTCTAAAGCAGGGATATCATAATGGGGAATTCCATACAAAAAAAGTTATCCTAAAACTTATTCAAAGTCAAGTTAGGACACACCAGAATAGAGGTTGTCTGTGCAAACTTGATTTAGACTTTGTGGACATGTCTTCTGATACAGCCTTTAATTACACGATTGCTTATTATTATCCACAGGACCCCTGCCTCACACAGGGGATAGAATACAATCCATTACAGGATGGAAATACAAAGCAGAAGAAATGAGATTTAGCAGGAAAAAAAAATGTTTCCTCCCTCTTGAATGCTTGACTTTGTAACCTAGCATCCTTTTAATGCGTTTTTTGTGTGTGTGTGTAACTGATTTTATATTTCAGTCTAAAAGAAAACCCATTCCATGGGATGTACATTCAACACCTTAGGTTCTGTTGAAAAATACCAAAGACATTCTAAAATATAAAACTGCCCAAAGCAGCATTGCTGCTTCCGTCTGCCCTAACTTCATAGATTTCATAGACATTTGGGCTGGAAGGGACCCCAGAGGATCGAGTCCAGCCCCCTGACCCAGGGCCAGAAAGTCAGAAGGAATCATAAGATCCCAGAAAGATAAGCATCCAAATGTGTCTTGAAGGCGTTCAAAATGGGTGCTTGAACCGCCTCCGGCGGCAATCTATTCCAAACCTTGGAGACTCAGACAGTGAAGGAGTTCTTCCTTATGTCCAGTCTGAATTGGTCACGGCGGAGTTTGTGACCATTCGATCTTGTCATCCCTTGGGGCGCTCTGGTGAACAGACATTCCCCCAGATCCTGATGAGCACCCTTTATAAACTTATAGGTGGCCACCAGATCACCCCTGAGCCTGTGCTTTTTGAGGCTGAAGAGTCCCCATGGCTCTCAGCCTCTCATCATCAGGCCTGTTTTCCTGACCTGATCATGCATGTGGCTCTCTGCACCCTCTCAAGCTTCTCCACATCCTTTTTGAATTGTAGAGCCCAAAACTAGACGCAGTACTCCAGCTGCGGCCTCACCAAGGCCAAGTACAATGGGAGAATGACATCCCGGGATTTGCTTGAGAAGCATCTATGGAGGCAAACCAGCATTTTGCTTGCTTTACTAGCCGCAGCATCACACTGAATGCTCATGTTCATCTTGTGGTCAATGATGACCCCCAAGTCCCTTTCATCTGTAGTGCTAACCAGTGTAGCACTACCGAGCCTATAAGCATGCT